GGGGGGGGGGCACAGGAGATATAAGTACTAAAGTAGTTGCTTCTTTTGGTTTTAGTTTTGGTAAGAAGAGTTTTATGACTCGTAACACAAATATCGACTGCTTACTCAAAGTGTCAAAACTCTGCATTATGCCATTTTGAAAAGTGCCGTATGATGGAATCCTGCTCTGAGCGGTCAATATAGGCCTACCAGTAACTGCCAAAGATTAGAGATGTTACTAGAGAGTAACCGTAAAACACTTACCAAAAAAAAAAAAAGAAAAAAAAAAGACGGGCAGGGTTTGGGATAGGGTCTCACTCACTGGTGTACCTGAGGCTAGGCATACAGGCAGTTTTACCCAAGGGCTCGAGGGGTTAAGCAAGGTGTAAGGGTGTGGCTTACCACTTACGTGTGTGACAGGGATATCTTTTATTGTAGGAAATTTTAAAATTTTTATTTTCACCAGAGTGGTGACCTCACAGCCTACTCTCCTACAGTTTTCAACCACGAAGGGATCTCAAATGTGCGCAATATGCACACAGAGCCTATGATATTTGGTTGCTTTTAAGGACAAGCGGGCTGACCTAGATTTCGGGGGTATCCAGAAATCTTGACCAACACTAAAAGAGGGCATTGCACTACCTATAGGAGAAGTTTGGTTTCATTGGTGTGTATATTTGTTTGGTTATAGAGAAAACTTTCCTTGACTTTTAAAGAAACAGAACAAGGGGCAAAAACGATACCTTAGATTTTCTCAAAACAGCATTTTTCGGGATAGCCCCTTGGGCTTAAAAACGACCATTTTTCTTCTTCGCGTCTCGTAGGGGAGTGAACTCATACAAAAGATGAAGAAACAAAATACCTAGACTGGCGTAGCATTTTGCTATAGCATCCTCCCCTAGGGCCAGGTCTCTGTGATCTCGGTACAGAATGCTCCGTCGCTCTCTCTGACACCGCTGAAGTTTCTCCAAAGCATCTAAAAATAGAATGTGGACGAGTATCAGGCATAGGTAGGTTTACAAGACTAACGCAATAACAAACAAGGAGGGGGGGG